CTCGTTCGATACCGTGCGTCTGAAACATGGCACTTTTATCGCGGTTGCCATATATCGCGGCCTTTTGGCTAGGATCAAATAATAATAATAATAATAATAATAATAGTTGTAGTAGTTCACCTCCTGCTAAAAATAGTATCGACAATACCCTGTAGAACCATTCATAAAGTTACTATTTTGAAGAATTTACCATTCATACTGACAGACATAAACGCAAACAGTGCAGACATTATGATTAAAGACTACAAAAAGGTTTTCTTATAGACATGACAGAGCCATTAGATAAAAATAATATCTTAAAGAATACGCTAAAATCTGTTCCCACCCCAGATTTTACCGTCTTTTTGACGGGTATACCAGTTTATTTATACAGTATCTTTAGCTCACAAGTAGACAAAATGTTATGCACTTTGTACATAACATTTGTATCATATTCTGGATTAATTCTTTTTTGTCTTTTGTTGTTGTTTTTTTTTTTACTAAGATTTGGCGTATGCAAGACCCAAGGGCCACTCAAGGTAGTGGGTTACTAAAAGCGGTTGTTGTGTAAAAGGTAAGAGTAAAGGGTGCAGTTTATGTAGATATATAAGAAAAAATAACGGTTAACCCTAGACTAGAAAAAGTTAAGATTGTAGAGATCGGGAAAGCATTATTTGCAATTCTGTTCCACACAGCAATCGTTCTTGGGAAGAAGCCATCCGAGTGGAACTTATTCCTTACAAAAGGAATACAAAAGAAATTGAGAGTGGTTTGCCTCAATGTACACAGCGTGACAGGTCTTCGCTGGGAAGGTTAGAGTTTGTGGAACTAAAGAATGTATCTCGTTTGAACATTTTCCATGGAAATAGCGGCAGAATAGCGAGAGGCTTGCAACGTTTTGTTTGTAGGAAAAGGGTTGTAAGGTGGAAATTAATTCATCACCTACAAGGAAACGTAGACGATTTTTGGCTCTATCAAGACTGGAAAGTAAAGACTGGGAAGCTCCAGTCCAGATTTCGTAGAAGTATTCCGTCTTTGAACTTTTCTGGCTCTTGTAAAGGTAGAGCATAACCAAAGGAATCAGGTAAAGGGAACTAGGGCGGTAGAGGGCAGCCGACCATTTTCCATGCATCTTTAGCGATGGATCGTGCATAAGAGTTCCACTTGAAGTCTAGGGCGAGCTTAAGTCTCAATAGGTGTTCAAGGCAAAGAGTCATCTCGAGAGAACACCTGTTCATTGAGATAGACGGAAATTCATAGGCTGCTCGATGATGTCCAAACGTTACAATGTTCTACGTATATATTCTAGGATTGTTCCTTTGTCAGGTTCTACGATGTTGAAAGACTGTTATTTACTTATTCGGTCGAACTAACTCGGACATTTATGAGTCTATTACGACACAAGGTCTTTTTAATGTGGGGACCCGAGCGCGTGCAACCGGGCAAGGGACAAAAATTGCCCACAGCCCCCGCAACCATCGGTTGCGCTGGCCTCGGTGCGAGCACCGATCCCTCCCTCTGGTGCAATGGGAGGGCGCGGCCTCGTGCAGCTGTTCCTCGGGGCTGGGCACTTCTCAGTATAATTTTCTCAGTTGCCCCTCTGTCCTTTGACAGAGAAGCTCCTGAGCGCACTCTGCCCAAACACAGAGACACAGCTGAGAGATGATCAGCCATGCGTTACAAATCCCCCCAAGGAGGAATTTTCACGCCAACCATCACAGTCCTGCATCAAGGTCAAAAGGTAATTTGGGTGAAATTCTCTGTCATAACATAACTGATCAATGTAGGTGATTGCTGGTCGACCAGTGCGTCTTGCGCCATAGCTAGGTGTCCAGAACAGAAGACCACTCGCACGTTATTGTTTTGCTCGCCAGCAGTGTCATAAAAACGCATTCTACGTCCACGTAAGATTTGTAGAAATATCAGAGATAGAGCTGTGATTTAGTTGGATGATGTCTTCAAGAGATGTTAAGGGCTGTAGCATACCTACGGACGATATAATAGGTATGTTCCCATTCACATAAATACAGTCGTAAATACTGTATGTTAGGCCTGCAGTTGAAGATTCGTCTCCAGTAATGCTGGTCAAACTCTCTGCCTCTGAGCAGAGAGGATCCCTAGATGAGGCTATTCGAAGGGCAGAGTCTCGTCTCGAGAAACAGCTACCCGACCCTGTTTTATACGGGGTCTACGGGGAATTTTTGGTCGAGTTTACGGGCTCGGATACCCACATTAAATTCGGCCTTGTCCCACATCTGACCGTGTGGAGTAGTTGGGAGATATCATTCAGCTGGAGATTCATTGTGGAATTCACTTAACTCAAATCTAGGAGTTGACCTTCTACGCGCCGCTGGCGAATCTTATATGTGTTGTTTGTGTCCTAAGTATTATCGTTCATTATTCTATTCAGTAACCTTCCCTAGGTTACAACATTAATTATAGCTCTTAGTGTCCGAGTGTAAGTTCCATCAAGATTAGAATCAAGGGTTTTAGTTAATGCCCTAGTAGTGGCTCCATACATTAAAACCACCTCTACAGTGTTTCGGAAGTATCTCCGTTTGATCTTGTCTGGTAGATCAGATTTCCAGATTACATCCATTTTATTCAAGGCTGCCCGGGCTTTAGTTATGCAATTTTTCACATCATTTTCAGTAAAATTTATTTCGCTTCCTACGTATGTAAAAGATTCGACAGATTTTATTGATTCACCCAAGACAGCTTGTATTGAGTCTTGCTGGTTGAAGACTATGAATTCAAACTTGACATAAAACATCAGTAAAATAAACACGGTTTTTGTTTTGTGCCTCTGTTGCGTGTGCTATTTTGTAAAAGATTCCTTTTGTGTTCAATGCATCTCGACTAATTAGATGCCAGAAATTTAAATTACGTTTATAAGATCCTATTGATAAAATATTATTTAGTCTGAAGAAGTCCTTTTGAAGAACGAAACGCGTAACATGGGATTTTTTTTCAATTTTGTCATTCAATTACCCACTTTTTCTGATATAGAGTTTGTATATTATGCTCGTCCATTCCTCATTCTATTTTTTTTAGATATACTGCTGACACTGAGGTGGCGTAATGATTAGCAAACACGTATCGCTAGATCAAATGGAACTGAGTAGTGCTCTATATTTAAGGCCTTGTGCCACATCTAAGTTACGCTTAGTAAATCATTATAATCCTATTGTAAATATATTTTTGGTACAATTTTAAATACACTTTTTTGCGTTTCGTTTGTACTTATATTCTGGATGGATACCTATAGAACATTTCCAAATGTGAGACTGTTGTTAAGTAATCCCCGGTAACAAAAATGAACTAGGCAAGATGCCTTAAATAAAGAACAAAGAAGTACATTGAAGTCAGGCAGTTCACTGCCAGGCTCGCGACTGACTTTCTGCTTGCGGAGAGGAACCGAGACGAGGCTATTCTCGTTTGGGGAGGTAGACAAACCCGACCCCGTGTATGCGGGGTCTACAGGGAATTTTTTGTCCCAGCCTACGGGCTCGGAATTTCCCCACATAAAAATCGGCCTTGTGCAAATACCAGTCCATTGCAGTCAGTCGAGGAGAATTTCTACGGACGTCACGGCGAGTAGCCTAAGCGAGACAATATTATAACCGCTAGAAGCGAGTTATAACAGAGACTTATATAAAATCTTTAGAAGATAATGTTTCGGAGGGGGGACGAAAAATTATTTTTTTCTGATTTATTTTGAAAAATGAATGGCGGTTATGATTTTAGACAAATGATAGATTTCAGCTCGGTAACATTGTCATAAACTGAGGCTAGGAAAACAAATCCAAGCTTCACTTTCGTTCTTAGTTTCAACAAAAAGTCGTGGAAATGAAATCCCCAACCCGTACCAACTTGTGCCGTGAATGGTGTCAGAGGTCGGTGTTCGAATCCAAGTAAAAAAGAAACAAAAAAAAACTAGGATTTCTCATGTGGATTAAGGTTGCAGGCCCTCCACACTTCTTCTCTTCACTCCCTTCTCATCCAGCTCGTTTTGGCCTTGTGTCATACTCAGTTAAGGTGAGTAAATATTCTGGACACTCATGTGAGACGTGTCATTAAACTGGCAACTGCTATTCGCGGAAGGCTAAGCGAAGAGTTTAAAAATTGCTGGCATATTTTTCTATTCGCAAATAATAGACCGAATACCCTGTTAAAGTGTCATCCCAGTTGAATGAAGCATACGCTCATCTCTACTTCTGTCGGCGTCTTTTAATTACCTAATCTCAACACCCGTTGTCGGTGTATGTGCAACAGCCATATGTTAATACATTTGATAGTCATGAAGAATACAGACAGTGACCTCCATTCATCATGGTGTTGAAGCAATTTTCTGTTTATTTAAGAATGGTCATGAAATGGTCGGTGGTCATCTCTTAGGGGTTAAGGCGTACAGAATACAACACAATTCACACAACTCTGTAGTTGAAAACCCTTGTTTTATTCGGAATATTAGCAAAATAAAGAAGGCAAACGATTGATTGACTCGTTTTCTATGGTTTATCAACCTTTTGCAGGTTATTTAAAGCCAGAAATAATTTTAGATTGTAATAATCTTTTCGGAGATAATAATGGTTTAGTGATACACATCTTACTAACTAACCCACAGCTGGGGGAGAAGAGGTGAATTCATATTTTCCCAACGTAAGTTTGCACGTAAGTGAATATAATTAACCCAACAGAAATTAACACTGAAGTGCACCGTGAATAGACCTGTAGTATAGAACGCCTTGGTGTTTCTGAAAAAATTCCTGACGTTCTAGGACAAGTTTTAGGTAAGTAAAAAGTAATATTTATTGGATATTTATTGAATTTTGCCATAAATTTCCGATTAAATCTACAGTACCCAGCAAAATTATAAATATGAATTTTCCTTGTTTAAATTAACGTTCTTTTTATTTGTTTATTTATCTTCATTAAATCAAATTGAATATCAAAAACAATTCTTGTCAGATGTTAAAAATTCCGAGCCATTATATATTGCACCACCCGCACATCCAATCTTACAGCATCTGGTATTCCCAAGCGATCACCCATCTACGTACGAACCAGGCTCGACGTTGCTTAGCTTTGGTGATCGTACGGGAACAGGTGTTTCAATGTGATGTCCATCAGCAAGTCAAACAAGAGATCAGTTTTCTTATTTCGAATTGTCAAGGTTGCAAAAAGAAATAAGCTATCACAATTCAAATTACTTGATGACCTCTAACAGTGTACTAAAGTAGAAAAAACAATTGCCGAATATGTTGCTATTCGGGGCCTTAGATCATGAGAAGCTTTAGTTCTTGAACATCTGTCTATAAGAGCGCAATGCCTCACTGCACTTAAAGTTTAAGGATTCTGGATATTTTCTGACGCCACCGGCAATAACGGAAGAAGTCTTTTATGAATTTATCTACAAATATTTGTTCGGGGGTTTGCTACAGTAAAAAAGGACCGAGTGCTACATTCCTATTCTGTAAGAAGATAATGGTCATACTACTTCGACTAATGTCCTTGTAGCACATCACCCACGACCCTTAAATTGCGGTATTTTGCCAGAATAGATATCGCAGACCATCAAAGAGGCTAGATACAACAGAGGTTGACCTGGAAGTCATTCCAGGCCGCCGAATGGAGAAGCACGTCACCTCACACCTGCATTCAGTTTTTCAGGCAAGATTCGTAATAAATACACGTTCCGAGAAAGAGTTCAGGATAGTCTCGCACACATCATAGACAGAATGTAGGGTCCACGCATCTGGCTAAAAGGAATTGATAAAGTCAGGAGTGGAATGATATGTATAATTCAATACGATTCAAGTTTCGTGTTATAATTTCGTCAACACACATTTCATTGCAAAAGCACTGGACGCTAGAAAAGCACAGTACAAATGAATGCTCTGCAAATGTCTCTTCCGCTAAAAGTTTGATCAATATACTTCTCTTTATTTTTCTGCTCATTCGGCATGTTTACAGGCCGTTTTTATAAATACCTTCCATGGTTAAAGTCACATCAACATGGCTTCTAATTAATTGATCACGTAATTCGTGACGTGTATTATTTTTTCTTAGGACTAACAAAATATATTTACTTGGTAACGAATTTAGTAAGGTATAGCGTTTTCATATTACAACGTCATATTCAACGTTTCATATTATAACGTCATATTACTGAATTTGGTAGACTGATCTTTGATCGCGACATCCATAATATTTTTTCATCTCACGTTTCTTAATTTCGACATATTCAGTGAAAAACATTACAGGTTAAAAGAGATTTACATTTTTGTTAACGAATTTAGTACAAAAAATTGTCGTTGAAATAGGCATAAAATAATAGAGCAAACTCGAAGGAAATAAAATAAACTTATACTTACTTGAATTAAATAACCTAAATTGATTCCAAGTGTAAAGGCAAAAGTTTATTTGGTCTTCTTTAGCCGACTACAGCAGCGAACTACAGCAAAAACAGACCGAAGCTAAATTGGGTCGCTTCCAGTAGAACAAGGAGCTTTTAAATTAAGCTTCTAGCCCTGGTATTGAATTGCACTGTGAGTAGCTCTGTAGTATAGAACGCCTTGGTGTTTCTGAAAAAATCCTGACGTTCTAGGACAAGTTTCAGTGAGTGCTATTAGGTAAGTGCAAAAGTTTCCAGAGTTTTTTTTTTATTTTATTTTAAGAACTATTGTGTATTCAGTTTTCAGAGAAGCAAGTGCTGGGAACATTTGCACATAGGTAATATTTATGGGAAATTTACTGAATTTTCCTATAAAATTGCGATTAAATCTACAGTAACCAGCAAAATTATATAAATATAAATTTTCCTCATTTAAATTAACGTTTGTTATTTGTTTATTTAATCTTCATTAAATCAAATTGAATATCAAAAAAAATTTTTGTCAAATGTTATTTTCTTGTTACAGTGATGTTCACCCTCTACAAAGCTCAAGAGCCACTAGAGGTAGAGGATTATGCAAAAAGAGGTACCACTCCAAGTAAGGTGATAATGCCACCAAGACTCAAGGACCTACCGGAAGTGAAATAGAAGGAAAAAAAATTGAGGGAATCTGAAACCTAATCCTAAACAGGAAACAGGAGATAAACCTCTGTCCTATTCAAAAAAGAAGCCTGAACCGGACAATAGGCGAACCTATCTACTCCTACTGAGGAAAAAATTAAATAAATAGTAAATAAAATTTCAAATTTTTAGGCGGAGACATTAGATATATAGAACTGAAGTAGACTTTAGAAGGGACCCTAAACCAATCCTAAAAAAGAAACAAGGGATAAACCTCTACTCCTGTTCAAAAGACCGGATTTTGTGAACCGGATGATCGGCAAACCTATCTACTCCTATTGTCGATTGCATTGAGTGAATTTTCGGCTATACGTAAAATCCCTTCATTAACCAGCTCAAACACCCATTTTTACACAAAAATGTGTAATTATCTATAATTGAGGAACTTCTTAGATAGATAGATAGATAGATCGAAAGGTTTTTGTATATACACGAGATTCTTGACTAGATCGAAAGAAGTATCTGCAATGTTATAGGTTCCGATCTAGCATCTCGGATTCAGTTACTTTCCCACCACCGTAACGTAGCTTCCCGGTGCCTTTTCTTGTTGCAATGGAATGTCCCACACTCCCTATCGCCTGTGGACTGTAGCTATATTTAGTGAACACGGGATATAGCTGGGGTTTACTTCGGGAATTACTAGCCTGCCACCCGATTCCCTGTCTTTCAGTAGTGTATTCTCTTTTACAATAAACCTCTCTTCTTTCATCTACGCGCATGTTTCTGTTCCTTCACTCGAGTACCACCTTTGTCTGTTTGTAACCTCTTTAAGGACACAACATTTCTATAAATATTTTCATGACGATTGTTCTGATGAGTTTTCCTATTTGGTACTTCGCCTTCACGAATTTAAGCGCAGTACTAGATTAGCAGCTAGGTCTCATCATTTTGCTGTTGAGATGGCCAGATACAACCGCAAGTTCTGTTCTAATAGTTTTTTTTTTCTCTCGTCTGTTGAACTCTTTTCTAGCTTCTTGCTTTCCCGTCAACTACGATCTTCAAAAATCTAAATGCAACGTCAACCGCGACACGTCTAATTTTCATGCAGCAACGCAGGAAACAAAGTGGAAGAGAGCAAGCACCCGGGGTAACTCTTGTTTCAACTGTTACCTTTAGGACGACGTTTTCGTTCTGTTATTTCTAGAACAAAGCGCTTGAGGGACAGATGTTATTCTTGGACCCTGCAGAAAGTGAACTCAGTCGCACGCTGACAGTTCTCAACGTATTTTTAAATGTTATTACTATTCTTCATTCGACGCTGTGCGTCTATTTTATATTCCCCTGTGTTGTGCATCTACGCCTGTGTGGGTTTATTTTTGTGAGTCTGGGGACTGATGTTCAATTTAATCGTGCCGTGAACAGTGACTAGAAGAATACATAAATTTTCTATGTAACATTTTTTTCTGCTTTTATCATCCAATTATAAATATCTGAAGGTCTCAACTTAACAAGACCTCAAAGTTGAACGTACGCTAAGCACTCAAATGTTAATGACCCAGCTATAAAAACTGTTGCTGTTGTTCTAACTTATAAACGAACAGCTTAACAATAAAGCTGAACTTCGGCTGGCTACGTATAGCCACTGGATATTACGGAAACAATCTGTGAAAGCCATATGCAGTTTAGTGTCCATTGTTAGAGAAGTAAGTAAGTAAACATCAGATACTATGGGATCCAAATGATGGGATCAAGCAGTAGTTTGTTTTATGGTATATCAACCTCAATGGGTTATTTAATGCCGACAAAATTGCTATTGCTGGCAATATGTTTTTCTTCAAAAATCTATTTCTGGGAATATTTTTCCTTGAGGGAAATTACTCTGGTAATAATTTTTCAAAGAATGTATAGCTGTTTGTATTGCTAGTACTTTCTTTTTTTTTAAAGTATTGCTGATAATAATTTTTCCTTCAAAAATTATTGCTGGTAATTTTTTTATTATTATTACAAAGTATTTCTGGTATTAAAACCTATTTTTACATTTTGTTTGGGTTTTAACTATTTGCCCATAGCTGGGACCCTAACAGTTGCTACCAACCCAGGTCAGGGTGGACCTGGGAACGCCAGTAAGTAAGAGGTGGTTCCACGCTCCTCAAAACCTGCTGATCAGAGGCCTTGCTGTTGGACGTAGTTTATCGTCTTACCCAGGATATAGATGTAGTTTATCGTCATACCCAGGACGCAGAGGTAGTTTATCGTCTCACCCAGGACGTAGATGTGGTTTATCGTCTTACCCAGAACGCAGATGTAGTTTATTGTCATACCCAGGACTGGATTATCTCATTGACGACATCGGAATCAAAAGGGAAGAACTGGATAGAACTATGGAAGACAACAATGGCTGGAAAAAAAGTCTTTGTTTGTGGGCGGTTAGATAGATAGTAATATCTTTAAACATAATTTTTAGTGGATACACGTATTTGAGTTGAAGCTCCATTTATTTATTAGACAGTATATTTATTTATTTTCACCTAATGTCCTGAATGTTCGAGAAATCTTATTAAAGAAAAATTTGCACCCTTTGGTAGGAATCGAACCTGCATACCACAGGGAAGTGGGAGCCACTGTTTCGACGTGCGCGCCTTACAGCTTGCTCACAGATGAACAGACGAAGCCAATCTTATACTTTCAAGAGAAATTTCTCCTATCATAGATCTTTCGCAGTTTGTTTTTTTTTCATATCTGCACATAGTTTTGTATTCAAACGTAAACAAAGAGAATTTTTAGAGTGGAATTGTATTGATGCGACAGATTTTTATCACTTTAAACGTTATTTTGAGTGGATACTCGTGCTTGAGTATTCACTGAACGTATATGTATTTTTACCTACCGGCTTCAATGTTTGAGAAATCTTGTTAGAGAATATATATATATATATATATATATATATATATATATATATATATATATAAAAAAACTTAAACACTAATATTCCATGGTCATAATTTATTCCATTGGAATCGTAAATACGATCCAAATCATCAGACCTACAAATTCAAAATGAAAACAGAAAAAAAAACAACTCCGGAAATCAAAACAGAATT